GGCACGTGCAGAATCCTGTGAACAGTAAGCTAACACCTGCCAGTTCCCATGACTTCCACAGCTCTGGCTCCTGTTCTCCAGACTACCCTACCATCATTCTATCTCTCCTGGTCCTCAACATTGGCAAGAAGAAAAAATCTAAGTGGAAGCCATTGGGGATCCTTCAAATCAATGTCAGGCTTGATCAATAGACAGATTTCAGGGAAGGCATTACCATCATGCCTTGCTCCTAGGTGGAGATGTATCCTATACTCCCTCAGGTATGTGGGGGCCTGAAGTCTTACAACTTGTTGATTTTGCTCCATAAAGTAGCTCTTTCTGCCACTTCAGGGAGTCCTTTACGATGGCATCATCGGAGTCTGTGGAGAGGCCCAAAGCAAAGAGTACTTAAGCATGTCAGAGTGGACCCTGCAAGTGGCCCACTGAGAGCTGTAGAGTAAGCACTTCCACAGTAAAATGGCTGAAGCTCAGACCCAATTATGTCTGGGGGCCCGAGGAGCTTCCCTATGCACCCCCACAGGGTCTGAAAAATCAATGGCTGTTAAAAAGAGTTAGCAATTAAGGAAACTGCATAGGGCAAGGCAAGACATTTGTCACAGGTATTCAGGGGATATGTGCCTGCCATGAAGGGCTTTAAAATGATCATCAAAAATATTTTCTCCAAGAAGCACTCAAGAGGACCAATATAAACCCAATGAATCTCGAAGGCTAGCCTTTAAAATCTGATCTTTCCAAAGATCAACTGTTTCCAGTAAAATAAAGACTTTAGTATGCCTTCCTAAGATAATGGGGGATAAATGTAAGCCATGCTTTCTTTGTTCAAGCATAGTATTACAGGCACCTGGCCTTGCTGTCAATTCCATTGACTTGTTTGGCCATGAATATTAATTTGCATGCTCTCAGAAGATGCATGTATATCCTTTGCATGGCCAATGTGTTGTAACCATAGAACATGAGTATAGAGGAAAACCCAGCCTTACTCCTTTTCTGCAAAGTCTCTCCTGTCTTGTTCTATACAGCTCGCTCTTTATGACATTATGGATAAAGTCCAAACCAAATGGCTTGTGACTTATTCTTGGGTAGTAAAATCCCATTCACTCACTTCCAGACACAAAATAGGTCTCAGTTCAGCAATTAAATATGTGAAGTCCATAGCAGTAATCAGAGCATCCATCTTCTCTTGGGTCTGCTTTGGGCTGGGTCACTGGGTCAGTTCCACTTACACTTGCCTCACTCTGCCTCATCCTGTATTTGAGGTTTGAATGCAAGGTAAAGGGACACGGGTCCCGAGGCCCTGCCTGGCCAGCTCTGGTTGCGGGATTCTTGGAACACTGTGTCTTTCTCATAGAGCTACCTGTTGCTGCCCCATCTCTGCACTTCTCTGCAGTTCTGTCATCACAGTGCCCTGGACCTGGACACAGGCCCATGTATTTTCTCTAGCCAGCCTAGACCTCCTGCTGTGGCTACTCATGCATGCATGCACCTTAGTTCAAACCTTTGCCCATGCCCTTTCTTCAGATGCAGGTGGGGAAAACTAAGATTTCAATACCTGTCTATAAGTCTCTGAAGAAACTGTACTTTGCTCTCCTATGCCCCAGAAGCCTAGATTGGACCTAGGGCTGGAGCCTCTTATAAGGTGCAATGATGACAGGGGTGTGCTTTGCCTCTTAGACCACAGCTGAGTCTTGCTAGTGATGTTTAGGATGAGGACTAGTCTTCAGAGATCATGCTATCACACTGTGGGAGCTTATAGCCCCATCTTGATTTCTCAGGTAGGTGGGTCTGAGTTCAATAGCTTGGCCAATTACCGAGTCAACCATATCTCCATAGTGAGACCTCCACTTTTGGACATCAAATGGGGGTTTTGCTGGATTGAAAACATTTTCAGTTGTCAAGTACCCAGAGAAGGCATAGAAGCATCAGGCTTTGTCCTATCCCAGGGGCAACACCAATGATAGTACATCTAGAAGGTGTGAAGAAGCAAAGACTCCAGCCTTGCACCTCTAACCTCAGAGCAATATAAGTTGTGTCAACTTAACTCTTTAGACCACTAAATACCCACTTTGGGCAAGAGACAACAGGTTAAAGGGTGGGGAAGTATAGACAGACTGCCTCAAGGCTGACGTCAAGGTTCATCTATTTCTGTACATTTTAAATGTGATTTTCGCCTCTGGGAGTCACAAAACAAATGTTCATTTCTCTCATCTATGTGCTCTTTCTTCACTCATCTATGGGATGGTGATGCAGTGACTTGCCAATCCTGCTCTGTGAAAAATAAAGGCAAGATTGCTCTGTGTGGAATCAGGACAGAGACCTGTACCCAGTTCTGTTTCACACTTAGACAAAGAGTGGGCTTCAGGCATGACTCCAGAGTTCTAGAAGTCTTTTCAAAATCACATTTATTTATTTATTTATTTATTTATTTATTTATTTATTTAGTGGGTATGTATGTATGTATTTGTGTGTCATGTGGTGTGTGTGTGTGTGTGTGTGTGTGTGTGTGTGTGTGTGTTTAGCACTCTGTGCTTTTAGAGGTAAGCCTTTACCACTGAGCCATCTTGAAAACATAGCTCTAGAAGTTTGGATGTGCTCAGCAGCAGGGGTTGGCATCATGGGTGAGAAAATTCTCCCATTTCCTTGACTGTCGTTTCTTGACTTAGATTTGTTTAGCCAGATGAATGGAAAGCTGTTATCTCCTCTGAAGGTGAACTTTTCTGCCTCTCCCCTGCTTTTCTCTTCTGCCTTCTTCCCCCTTACTTTCCCTTCCTCCCTCTTTTCCCGCATCACTCCCTCCCCTCCTCTCTTCCTATTTTTGTCAATATTGGAGATCCAACCCCAGGCCTCACACATGCTGTGCAAGAACTCTTCTACTGAGTTATTCCCTACCCCCTTCCAGGCCAATCTTGAAATGATTGTGTAGATGGTTTGGTCTGGCCTAGGGATATGTCTTAGTTGTTGTTATGGATGGTTAGGCTGTTATGGATGGTTAGCATGTGTGGCTTCTGTGTGAAAGGAAAGGTGTGTGTGTAAGCTTAGTCCTGCATGTACAATGACAGGAGGAAGCCCTGACATCAGAGTTGCATGTTTGGCTTGCTTGCCTGCAGCTTGAGCAATAATAGCTGCTCCTTCCATGCAAGTATCAGCCCTCGGCTCTTGGGAAAATGTCATCTGGTGCTTCTGTAGAGTGACAGTGGTAGACAAGGGTCCTCATACTCAAGACATCTCTAGGTGCTCACACCCACTCCTGGATGAAGGAGTCAGATATGGAACACCTATGTGTCCACCTGGTCCAGATGATGTGCCTTTGTGCACCATGGCTACTCTGTCCATGGTCAGAGCTCCCAAGCCACTCTCTCTCCAAAGCACAGTTGCTAAATAAACATGCCTCAGTGGGCATCATCCCTTCTCACAGCTTAGGAACAGGATGCCCTGGAGCTGCCTGACTCTGCAGCCACAGCCTATAGGGTATAGATACGCACAGTGAGCATGATTTGGTAACCTCAGGTCCAGTGTGGGAGTCAGATCTGCATAGCCACATCCACTAACCTGCATTGAATGGGTGGCAGAGGGTGTAGTGTTGACAGTGGGCATTGTGTTGGCAGTGCACAAGATACTCACCATAGTAGATCAAGAAAGATTACAAGTGAAAGGTGACAAGATGGTTCCCTGCTTTGCCCCACCTTCCCCATCCTCCAGGCTCAGATGTTTTCCCAGAGGAAGCCACTGGTCACCATTTTTGCATTTGCATGTTTGCAGGCATGTGCACATATGTGCATATTTACATGGCATGCACACACACACGGGAAGCTATTTCTGTCATCTCCTACCTTTCCCCCTGTGACTTCCCCAGTAGAGGTTGATGTCAAATGCTCTGGGTTCATCTTGAGAAGCAGAAGTATCACAGTATCATGTCTCTCAAACCGGGAAAAGCCTACCCCTACTTCTCTGGTTGTTTCTCTTCTGTTGAGCTGGTGTGTGGTTGGATAGTTCCGTTTCCCTTTCTATTCTTGGTGTTAAAACAGTCATCAATGTACTGTATTCTGCTGAAAGCATTTTCTCTGGCTTTTGAGGCATTGGATGGATAGTTTGGGGAAAAAATTTAAACTTCAACTTGGTTTCCATTTGAGGCTTGCTAGATTGTGTCTTTTTCCCTATTCCTTTGCTCATGCAATTATTGTTCAAATGTCATGCACTCCAGCCCATGGAAAACCTCTTACCCATTTGGTGATGAAGAAGGGATAACTAGAGGGTGGCCAGCTTGGAGGCCTCTCCATACCCATCAGGGATACACTTTGGTGTCCATGATAGCCAACAGCTGTCTAAGATTTATTGAGACTGGTTCTGTGTCACACATTGTTCTTTGTACTTTCTGGGGAAGGCCTGGATCTTATACATCTCTAACCCAAGTAGTCTGGCCATTCATCACTAGCAAAGGTGATTTAGATTATGCTGAGTTCAGGCCCATATGAAGTTTGATGGCACCGAGGAAGCTCCTGACTGCCCAGGCATGGGATGCACAGGTAAAACAATAGCATCCAGATCTGCATATGGGCCATCTGGGCTGAGCCATGGCAGTGACTAACCACTTGTTAGCAGTATTCTTAGCACCTCCCACCTTCTGTTGACTCACCAGCAGGACTGCCGCAATCCTGGGTGGTTTTTATTGGGGACACTCTACATGTACTGATTCTTCCTGGGATTCTTCATCTAAAAATTGTGGAGGATAGAGTAGGACCAGCAACTGTCTTCAGAGAAAGGCCAAAAAGAGGACTGCAAAGAGTCACAGACACAGATGTGTGGGTGGCACTGGGTTGAGTCAGAAAGGGGACCAGGTGAGAGACCCATGTCTCTGAGGCTCAGTGTCAGGATAACATTGTCATTAGACAACAGCTGGAAGGCCAAGATGCCAGAGTCTGCCTGTAGACTGATAATCAATTTGGCTTTTCAAAGCCAAATTTTATATCTTCACTCAATTTTTCAAATCATGACTGACACGACAAATGGAATACTAATGACCATTGTTTTGGTCCCACAGAGAGAAGCAAAGAGCTCAGCCGTGCACCCCGTCGTCCTCCTGCACTGATGCTACGTGCCCCAGAGAGAAAAAGCCTGGCGGGAGACAAAGACGACAAGGTGAGTATCAACCCTTGGAGTTTTATAGAGACACAGTCTACAGGTGGAAGATTGGGGGCTGGTACACCCTCACACATGTTCCTCACAGGCATCTGCAAAATGGCTTGGTCAGTCTGCCTTGCACCACAGCTGAACCCAGGCTGGCAACTTCACACCCGGAGGCAGAGCAAACCCCAGGCAAGGTCAGGCAGCGCACCCTGACCTAGTAGAGCTCATGGATGGGATCCTGTGGGAAGGAGCTTGGTCTCCAGTGAAGTTCACACTGCGTCTATTTTCAGAATGAAGAGAAGACATATGAGGGGCAGGCTTCTGCTGGCATGTAGTTCAAAGTTAGGTTCTACTGTTAAAGAAATCCCAAGGCATGGCTATTTTTCTTTAAATATTGAAATTGTAGGTCATTCTCTTCACACATTTGTTACATGGCTACAAAGTTATGCTTCTGGATGAGCTGGTATTTCCCTATTCACTACACTTGAGAATAACATTCCAGGGCACCTGCCTTCATCAGACTGTCCTGGAGCATCTGTGTCACAGAACCTTTCAACATGTCCTCCTCTTACTTTTCTCAATTGTTCCTACCTCATGCTTAATGAGAGCACTGCATTCTCCCTGGCCCATGCCCCCCAGTTAGCCTGCCCCCAGGACATAACCTGAAGCTCACCTACTTCTTAGCTGACTCTAGTATCGATGCTGAATGGTGAACACCAATCACAAGCGTGGTGTATAATGCAGATTAAAACATGTTCTTGTGCATGAGTTTTCCAGAAGAGAGTAGCACATCTATACCAGAGTTACATATTAATTACACAGCTAGTTTCGCTGGTGCCATCCATAAATACTGGCTTTATCACTGGGTTCTGCCAGTCTGATTCACTTTTATTACTTCCTAGTCAAGCAGGAGTTTTACACTGTGATAAGCCAGTTTTATCACCAACAGGAAATCATAACCAGCATGAGCCTCATGAAGAAGATCTTAGTAATTAGTAGGAGAGGATCCTAGCATTACCAAATTTAGAAGTTGGCCTCATCACAAATTACATTCTACCGTATTTACTTGAATTATTTGGTACTCAGAGCCTCCGTGTTGAGTTCTATTGTTCAATTAACTTCCAAATGAAAATCCCCTACAGTTTTCCTAATTGGATTAGCAATATAAACCCTGATATTAATACATATATATACACACATATATTTGTGAAGACAAGTGCTTCTTAATACTCCCTGTTAAGCTAATTATTTATTCTGACCTTATTTTCTCACAGGAAACAAAGATATTTTCTACTTCTAGAAAGTTCTTTAGAAAATTTCACAAAACCTTTGTTCTTATACTTAAGAATGTAATGAATAACTGCGTAAATTAAAAACCGTTTATTATGCTGGATCATCCACAAAGAGCATAGGCTATGAGAGACCCCAGAAAGACACGGGATGCGCATACACGGTACATCATGGGTACAAACTTCACTCACCTTCTCAGGTTTATCTCCACACCAGAACAGGGCAGGTGCTCTTCCTACTGTCTGTTCTCATCTCAGGTTTGCTGTCCTTCCCTGTTGAGAGGGACTGTCTGGCCCTCTTCATAACACAGTCAATGTGAAGCATCTTTGTTGTGTTATTAAGATTTTTACCAAGGAGCTACACGAGGCAGAGTTACCTCTTCAGGATTTCTCCTTACTTTTAAAAAAGATTTTTAAAAAATTTAAATGATGTGTCTGTGTGTGGATATGTGCATGTGACTGTGGGTGCCTAAGGTGGCCAGAAGGAGGCATTGGATTCCCTAGAGCTGGGGTTATAGGCAGTTGTCAGCTGCCCAAAGTAAGCACTGGGAACCAAATTCAGGTCTTTTGCAAGGAAAATGTGTACTCTAAACCTCTGGGTTGCTCCAGCTCCAGGTTTAACCCTCAACTTGTAGGTCATGACCTCTTGAGGGAGGGTGTCACATATCAGAAATCTGCATATCAGATACTTACATCACAATTCATAACTAGCAAAATTACACTTATGAAGTAGCAACAAATTAATATTATGGTCACCACAAGGACCTGAATTAAAGGGCTGCAGCTTTAGGGAGGTTGAGAACCATTGCTCTTGGCTCTTATAGTAACTCAAGGTTCTTTCTCACTACATTAGAGCTCTATACCTAGGGTATCCATAACTTAGTGCATTCCTTTATCCTTACCCAGAAGAGTAACAAGGAAAATCAGCTGTGGCTGCAGTATTGTCCTGGGCATTGGTCACTGGTGACAGACATTGGTGCCACCACTGCCTTTCTCACACTGACCTTATGTTGGGTGTTTCTGCCACTGGATGACTACTAACTTCAATTGGATTGGGTTGGGCAAGTGGGCAGTCATATTTTCCTGTTCATGCCTTAAAATGTATTGGCATCATTGCCAGTAAAATCGGGTTCTAAATTGTCAAGGTGATATTCAGTTTTGTAACCTTCAGCTGAGAACAGGTTGTCATTAGAAACAACACCTGTCCTTTAATCTCACCTGAATTTCCAGATAGAAAGAGAGGCCATGGCCTTTGTTGTGGTCTTAGTTTGATATTGAAGCCATGCAAACTGTCGGGGGTGGGGTCTAGAAAAGTCCTTATCCCTAGAATTTATACTTTCTGCATTCCTTTCTTTCCTAGACCTATGGCATCATTGTATGAATGTTTGTTCACTTTTTAAGACCCTCCTGTCTTGATATTTTTCTTTCATGGTGGAAATTAGGCCTTAGCCCATTGTTGAAACAAAAAGGTGTGACTGTCTTGGTAGGACAACTAAGTATGACAGCACAAGTCTTGGCTCTGGGTCCCTATTGGTCCAGAGTTTTTTATTTCAAACAAGATTGGCCTCCCCTGCCCTAGTTCTGTCTGAAATGAACATGGGAAAGGGCCCGTTTGCTGCTGTTTTGGACTGGAGAGAATACATCTGCATTTTCTTCTAGGGGATACATACAGCCTTTTGTTTTCTAGAAGAGAACAAATGAAGTCACACTTTCCAAACCCAGCTGAGCATTGGAATCACATGTACCTTGAAAAATGACTCCTTGTGAGCTGTCTGAGCACCCAGAAAGGTGGAGGTACCCCCACCCACCCCCCAGAGCTGCCGAACCTGTTAGGCCTCTTTTCACTTAAGGATGGCAGTTTGAGCCAGGTGTGGTGGCTGGCACTGAGAAGGCTAGTACTGGAGAGGTTAAGACAAGAGGATCACTGCAAATGTGAGTCCATCCTAGGCTATATAATGAGTTCCAGGGCAGCCTAGGGTGGAGTAGGCTTGTCACTTCCTCTGCTACAATGGGCCTAAATGTCAGCCCTGGCTGTGTCTAGGATACCTTGCAGCATGGGGGTGCTCTGTCACTGTACATAGGGATTTCATGGCACAGTGACTCCGGCCTATGAGTCCTGGGTATGAGCTCAGTGATATTTTTCTACCCCTGGCCCACGGATGTGCAGTACTCTCATGACTTCTTGTCTCTGGATCTAAGAGCAGACAAACGGGGACTCCAGAAGCTGCCTTTTGTGGGTTGTTCTACATATGTCTGCAGTGCAGTCCATTGTCAATTCAAACCTTCTTGTGCCTGCCCAAACTAAGAGCCTCCTCTCTGTGATGTTTTACTCAGTAGTTATTGCTGGAGACAGACTCAGCTGTCTGTCTGGGGGCTTGGTTACTTTCCATTTTGTTACTGGGACTGAGAGAGTGTTGAGAAATAAAACAATCATCTTTCTCCTTCCCTTTTCACTCAAAGGAGCCTCCACCCATGCTGGTAAGAGGGGAGGAGACTGCAGCAAAAGGCAACAGACCTGTGGCCTCCACACCTGTGCCCGGATCCCCCTGGTAAGACACCTCTAAAACCAAGAGCTATAAAACACAGCTCCGCATTCCAGAGTCTGCTTAATGTCACCAGAGAGAAAGTGCATGCTCCTCAGGTGTATCATGCTTAATAAAACAAAATCTCTACCCCAGGGCAGGAATAATTCTCCACTGTTGTCACATCTGCAGAAAGGGAAATGGTGCTTAAGTGATGGGTTTCTCTGTCCTGATGTATTTGTATGAATTAAAACATCAATGCTGTTGCATATAGATACAGCGAAAGTCAACGGCTTGAGGTAAATGTAGCGTAAATGTAGGATTTTCTACCCTCTGCTGAAGGAGGAGCATCGGGAAGTAACTGTTAATTAAAGCTCTGTCTCGCTATCTCCAGGTGCCCTGAGAGAATTCCTGATCTCTGAGTATGCCTTCCTCCAAAGCACCTTCCACGAGGGAGCCACAGTCTTTGGTTTTTAGAAGTGCCCTTTTCTAATGGAGTAATTTGGAACTGGGATAAAAAGGTTATTATAGTAAAAATTAGTTTTAAAACCTGACAATTGGAGTGCAATATACAGCTGGGAGGAAAGGCTAAATCCAACTAAGAGAAATAGCAATGATGGCATTAGGGTAATGTGCCCTCCAGGAACAGCAATGGGGTATGGGGGTAATGTGCCCTCTGGGGGCTGCAGTGGGGTCTCAGGGTAAGGTGCCCCCTGGGGCTACAATGGAGCCATCAGGCTACAGCTATTCTCTAAGAATAACAATGGCATGTGTCAGGAAAAGCGGCTTGCTCATTGTGCAGGGTTTTTTGAGCTTTGTAGCCAGAAAAGGTATCCTTTCTCTCATTTCAGGGTAGTGTCCATATTGTAGCATTAGTGACCTCCTGTTCCCCACATTCTGCTTTGTCTCTGGGAGTGATTAGGTGCTGCTTTCCCAAGCTCATGGCCCCCAGTACTCTCAGTCTATTGTTCAATTCTAACTCTAGATACTAGATTACAAGTTGACATCAGACCTCTGGGCTTAAAGACTCAGCCCTGAGAGACTATTTCACATAGATGTTATTCAGCAGGAAGCCTCAGCAAGCTACTTGCATTTAGTCTAGCTGACTACAAATCCAGGGCCTCCCACTGCCTCCCCTCGATTTTAGTGACAATTCTTCAGAATGACTCACAGGACTCGCTAAAGTGCTTAACTGCGATTAGCTATGATTGCAGTTTTATTACAAAGAATATGACGCAGGAGCTATGAGATGGAAGAGATTCACAAGGCCCTGGGGTGGGACAGGGCTTATGCCTTTTTTGGAACCTGGCAACTGAATATATTTTCCTACTCAGAAGATGCCCAACTTGTTGTTCTATTTCCATGGCAGTGTCCTTATGAAGACATATTTGGATAGGTCTTGCTTTCCTCTGATACAGTGGATACAGGGAAGAATGGGAAATGGGCCAGGTTGATATTCAGCAAGGCTCATGGGTTTCCCGCTCTCTGAGTGAGGATTCTTGGCCTCTGAGTTAAGTCAGAATGTGAGCCTTCTTACCTTGTGTAGCAGGGGTCCCTTGACTATCACATGACTATGATATAAATAAATGACCTCTATTTATCCTTGCTACATCAGGCATTTGGGAAGCACAGAGTGATGGGGGTTGGAATACAACATTATATCCCAGGAAAAGGACCATAAAAGATTATTGTAGGTTTCTGAGAGTGGAGTCCCCAAGTTCAGGATTGTTCTAGAAGATGGGGTGAACAAGGGTGTGGTGCCATTTACTAGGAGGCCCTTCATCCGGTTGGCTGTGATACTGAGCTGCAGTTGGAGAGGGTTCAGGCCTAAAAGCAGGGACAGAGCCACAGAGGCACCACTGGATATACAAAACCCTGCCTGCCCTGCTGCCTTAGGCTGGTGGAAGGCACCTCCTGGCCTTCTCCTCTCTGATTGACAAGGTATTAGTAGTGGGACTGCAGCAGAGCCCATCTGGGCAGTGCACAGGATACCATACTACAGGAGAAACACTAAACACCTGTACATGGATGGTGGGGCTCTATTCCATAGACCAATCAGAATTAGGCCTCCTCATGAATCTGTGCAGTATTACAGAGGGTGAGGAGGGTGGTGCTCTTTTCCTTGCATCCCTTTCTTGGTGCGTTCCTAACTTCAGCTCTGCTTAATCTCGAGTATCTTGCCTTATACCATGGCCCTTTAGTTAAGGATCTATGTGTTCTGGAAGATCACACCAGACTGGAGATGGGATTCTTCCTTGCTCTGAGTAGTAGAGGAACCTGGATATGCCATTAAGACTAGCAGCTTCCAGTTCTGACATCTGCTGTTAGTATGGCTGAGAGGGATTTTGTGGGTACCTGGAGGACAGCCTCATTAAACCTGGCATCTTGCTGACGACAGTCTGCTCAGGGATGGTGCCTCTCCATGTGGGAAGCCATGGCTGACTTCCCCCGAAACAGAGTTCCTCCACGTACGGAGCTGTGTGCATGTGCCCCAGGGGTGGTGCTCCTCCTCATGGAGAGCCTTGACAATCATCTCTATTATCTCAAGCCATTGCTGCCATCACACTCTTGGGTTCACCAATGTCAGGCTGTCCCTGGCAAGCCAGGTACTCTGGGAATCCCCAGAGGTACAGGAGCAGCAATATGTCTCCTTTAGCTATCTCTGTTCACATATACCATTTGCAATAGTGGTATAACAGCACCCTCACCTCAGAAAGGAGCTGTCACCTTGAACTAACTCCATTCAAGTCAGAGTGCAGAAAGCTCTTTGGTGGACATGGGCAGGCTCAAGAAAAGTGCAGCATGGGAGGTGGTGATACCCCATCACCAGCATCGATGAATATGGATGCAATCACTGCCCACACCCAGGGAACTCTGGGACCTCTGTCTCAGCAGTGGGAGGCTGAGGTCACAGTCACCCCTACAACATCTCCTGGAGGTACACTCATTGGCTGTGGGCAGACCACGGTTTTCTGTTAGCCCCCAGGACTCTGGTTATTCACTGCTCTGAGACCCAGACATTTCTGTAGCAGGTAGTAAAGCAGGACAAAGGCTAGGGTCCTGCAGCCGGGGTCAGGGCACATCATTCCCTATAGAAGTTGCAAATAGGAACGGGTCAGCAGAGTCTCTGGGGATCACACTACAGAATCCCAGGGTCTTCAGTCATTGTAAGTAACAAGGCATTAAGTAGAGTGTCAGCTGACATGACATGTAGCAGAGTGACAGAAGAAGCTCCAGAGGCCTCCAGAGCAAGTCTCTTTACTAATAACCAGTGACCTGAGTGTTCCTCTGGTGTCTGGGGGAATCTTGTTCATTTTGGCCCCACAATGGAGCATCTCCTACCCAATAGGATTGGACCAGCAGGATTAGTGGGAAAATATTAGCAACCAGTCTGACTTAGATCCTGGAAGGAGACACATTGTTAGAAGAATAGAAATCTCAGAACAAAAGACAAGGAGGATTCCTGGCTGGGAGGTTTCCACAGAGACAGAGCTGGCATGGATGGATGCAGAAGGCATCACACCGAGCCTCAGAACTGCCTGGGAGGCTGTAACTAGAGCAAACAGGATATTGGAAAATGCTAGGCAACCTGTTGCTGTTCTATTCTGTCTGCACACTTAAGCAAACTGAGCTGAGAAACAATGTTTGATAGGACTTCCAGTAAGCAAGACCTCAAGTCTCATGTGCAGGTGTGGGGGACTTTTTGATCAAAGACTGAAGGTTGAAACTTTGCATTGTGTTTCTTGTTTGCATCTACCCTGTGTAAAACATCCAAGGAACTGGTCAGGTTGAATAAATGGCTTTAAAAGTATAAGAGGCCCCTACTCATGGGGCCACTCTATGCTAAGAACTAAGTAAGCCAAAAGTGAGCCAGAGCATCCCAAGGCCTTCATAACTATGTAGGATACCCTCCTACAGTGTAATTACCAAGAGATGGCCAGACAGATACTCTCCCCAGACCCATTAGTGTAATCCTAGAAACACAAAGTCAACCCCAGAATAAGAGTGGATCCAGAGTTCTGCCCATTGTCCTCTCACGGTGGGTGACAGTTCAACCATTAAAGATGTTTCCTGGCTCCAAATCTCCATTTCAGAAGGGCAGGCAGGGAGCTCAGTGCTCTTGGGTGTTTTGAATGAACCCAGAATCCAGACACAGATTTTAAGATGCTGAGGAGGGAAGTGTGTACATCCACAAAGTGAGGCCTCACCTGTGAGGAGGCTGAGCGTGAACCCCTGGTGTTGCCGAGGGAACTGAACCTTTCTTCTGTTTAACACTGAAATACTTTTCTTGCAATTATTGATGACACGGGGACATTTCAAAGGTAATGGCTAAACAAAGTGTAAAATCCATGAGGCTTTAGCTCAAAGGGCAATAAATGTCAACATCAATGATTAATTAGCATCTGAGAGTCATTTTAGAGATTATGGATTTATAAATAATTAGCTATTTTCATGAAATTTCAGCGATGTGTACCGAACATTTCACATGATTTCACTTTTCTAAGAAAGTCCAGATTGATGTAGTTCAATCTTTACCAGCGACTTATCAACAAAGTTCTTCATGAAGTGATGTAGGAAGAGAAAGAAGTGTGCTGCCAAGGGGTCAAGGGACATGGTGCTGTCACAGGCAGCGCCTCCTACCAAGGCTGATCCCTCATTCTTAGCTCTTGTCCTAAGAGGCACAGACAGTTAAGGTGCTGAGAACTGGGCCGGTGAGTGTGGCTTGTTGCCACCAGCCTGGTCCCTCTTGTCCCACTGAACGGCCAATGGTGGGTAGTCCACATTGGGTTAGAGATGTTTGGGTAGAAACATTACAGGTGTGGCTCTTGGAGTCAGCTATCCTAGGCACATTGTTCCTGGTTTCGTGTTAATAGCATGGCTTTTATTCTGACTTCACTTGACAGTTTTAGACTATCATGGCTACCAATTAATTGCTTATAACGTTTTTAAAGAGTAGAGTCACTGGGTGTATAAGTAAGTGTTGCCTTTGTTTGACTTTAAAGGGGTCTGCATGGAAGCATGTTGTT